TCTTCGGAAGATTTATGTACTTGTATAACTTTACTTCTGTTGTTTTCCCCCGAGGTGTCTTTATGCACAGTATATACAGGAATATTAAAGCCTTTTTTTTTTGGTTTCAGACTTCAAGAATTGAACTTGAAGGTGTAGTTCTGAGAAATACAGAATATTCATATTGATAAGTTCTTGCTAGGAATCTAAACATATGAAACAACTGTTTTCAAATCAAGTACCATTCACTTCACTAATAAGCAGAGGAAAGTTGTGTTTTGGTAACTCATGGAGAGGTTGTGGAGTAGTCTTGTACTCGTCGTGTTCTGTTTTACATAAAGTACAGAGTTAATTAGCAGTGGCAATCAACCAAAGGCATGACTTCAAGCAGATGCAAAAGAAACATCAGCAGTTGTCTCAGGTGAGATCAGAGGAGAGTTGTTAACCTGAGACCAATTACAATAGCGTAAAGAGATGCTGTAGCAGCTGTTCTAAAACCCATACAACTGCATCTTTCAGCCCTGGTTGTGTAGGGCCAGAACAATTGTATCATGATCCTGGCTAACACATTCTGCCTTTGTAATGAGTTTGAAAGTAACTAAAACAGATACTCAGTAACCTACGTGGTTGATCATTAATGTTGATGTTTCAATGGTGATGGCAGAGAATGGTAGTGTGAATATAGCTATAATCATTGAAAAGGGCCTTTACAACAAAATAAGTTATATCCTGCCACTTCAAGTTGTCTCTTAAGGCACGTGCTTTAATCATATAGAAATAATTACAGAATCCGATTTGAATGGTTGCTTGGGCCATAGTCTTTTACCATATTTAACAGAGAAGTTTAAGAACATGGTTTAGTATTTGACTTTTTTGGTACTGTGCATTATTACAATGAAGGATGAAATCCAGGCCTTGGAAGCTTCAGTGACAAAGCTTTCTTTCCCTGCAGCAAGTAGAGGATATTACCCAGAGAACTGAGCAGAGATCTGGACTGTAGAATCCAAGATACAAGATATATCCTGCTGCACTGTGGGTCTGGAGCTAAACGAAGACAGGTACTTCTCTCATATTAGGAGAAATGTCCTGTGTACTTTCCCCAGTTTAAATTATGTCCTTACCATTCTGTGTAAATGAGTCTGATTCCTGTTTGAAAATGATAGCAGAATAGACTAACATAACTGATTGATAGTGTCACTAATTCATAGAGATTGTTCTGATCAGGATATTTTATCACTTACAAAACTGTCCTGGAAGATCTCTGCTAGCATTTGATATGCTATGTGTATGTCTTTAAATGCACTTGCAAGTGCTTCAGTGACTCAGTAACACAATTTTCTGTCTCTGACCCTAAATGTAATTGTCTAAGATGTTTCTGTCTGCTGTCAGCATTATACTCAGTGTCAGATGGAGTGATCTTTAAAAGTCTAAATTGTTCAGGTTTTCTGTGTATTTTAAGAATAACTGTTGGAGGCTGTGAAATAATCTGAATGATGCCTTTTGTGACATGTAAAAGATATGTACAGTGGTACTATACTGTTACCAAAGGCTTTTTGACATGGCTGTATTTCACTATGACCCACAGCGTAAGAAGCCATGGTAAAATAAAGCAAATAGCACTGAAGTGGTTCCAACTATTTCTGTATTCACTGCCTGTCCTTATTGATGTCAGTGGGATTTCTGCCATTAATTTAATCAGTAGGAGGATGTATAACCCTTAGTTGAGGTATAAAGTAAAAATACCCTATAATTAGAGTTAACCTTATCATAAGTAATCATCAAAAGTCACTTGTTTAACAGAAATGGTCTTCTAAATAAAGGAGAAGCAGGTGTCTAGATTCAGACAAGCACTTAAAACACGTGCATAAAGCATGTGACAAAATTCCGTTGACAAAAGGCAACCACATATTTAGGGACTCTGGTGGAAAGGGTTGGATAGAAACATTTGCAGAATACAAGCCATGGTCTCAGACCTCCAAATTTATGATTCCAGAAGAGTGTTCTTCACTTTAAGGGAGCTGTGTGGGAGTGTATGTTTATGATCATGCAGTAGTCTGTGCAGCTGTGGCTTTACAGGCACAATTTGAAGAGCTTTCTTAAAGCACATGATAAGCAGTTACAGAAATTTCACAGTACCTGACAGACTGTGTGAGTGAGAGACAGAGAGGAAAAGAAAAAAAGTAAGTAAGTGTATTCTTGAAGACAGAAAACAGCATTTTCTCCACCAATCTGCTTAGTGGTAATACTGAAAGAAGAAAAGGTCTAAAAACGTCTGTAGTCACAAGCTCTTTTTAACTTTCTGGAGTGATCACTGAGGCTGATATCAGACTTACCTTGTCATTAATTTTTTACTGTTCTTAATGTAATGGTAAGTGGTGAAATTGTCTTAGATTTGTAGACCTGGCAGGCTAATCAGTGTGGAAGTAAGTGTGGTTAAATAAAGGAGCTGCCTGCTAACTCAAAAGTTACCTGAGCTGTCTGTGCCTTTCTCTCTCATTTAGCCATTAATATTGGTATGATGCTTGAAGATCTTCAGATGACCCATATTTCATGGTGAAAATATAAAACATAATATCAGCTGAGATACATAGCATTTTCTGACAATAATGAGAGCTTTTAGCTCTGCAATCAGACTGCAGTTACTAATTCCTCAGAATTTCCTTTGTTTGTTGCTTTCCTGAGATGACACTGAAATCATAAATGTGAACTTGTTTGATCGATAATTCTTTTTTCACTGTTCAGGAAAATTCTACAATACAATATTAGGGACTGATTCATTCTCACGAGTTAATGGAAATATATTTTTGGCTAATGTATAAGACATGAACACATTATTGAGTATTCATTAAAGTCCTGTAGATTGCTTTAATTTTGTGTAATATGATGATTTCCCCAACATTGTATTGATGCTTCCTTCCATCTCCATAATGTCATATCATAAATGTGTTATACATCAGAACCGCTGTATTAGCACATAATTTTGAAATGAAGATTTTGGATCTGCAAATACGGAAACATCTTCTTAAATAGCTCCAACAAATACAGTACGAGACAGTCATACAGGTTTTTGCAAGGTTAATGCCCAAGAACAGACTTTTTCAAGAGTTCCAAATTTTTTGAAAAGAGTACATAGGAGTAACTTATCATGTTAGAAGTATAACGTTGTGGATGGTTAAAGCCATCTAGAATTTTTAAAAGGCTGTTTCGGTGTCTGTTTATTTTTATCACGTATATAAGCCTAAAAAACCCATACACCGTAGTGTCTAGTTAGGTACTGTTAGCAAGTAGTTCATTTTTGTAACCTAATTTGATTGCTGTGTGTGTTTGTGTTATGACAAAATTGCGATGACATCATCACACTCTTACTTTTCAACCAGAACCCTAACTTAGCCAGTGCACAAGCTGGATGAACTTCAGTTAAGGAGGAACTGTTCAGAATTTTGCATTCTCCTCATTCCTTATTTCTGGCTTGCTATTTCAATCTGTCTGTGAAGAAAAAAAGATTAATTTTTTAGCAATTTTTTTATGGTGCTCTTCATTTTATTATACTTTCCTCACAAACATTTATGCATTTATTTTTACAACCCTGTGAGATGTGGGCATTATGTTATCCTCAATTTTGAGATGGAGGAAAATGGCAGAACATTGATTATTGGGGCAACATGCCCCAGTTTGCCATTATGGAGGACCAGGGACTTGATTTTTCAAAGTGCTTTTCACCTAGTTGTATCCAAAACACAGCTTCCTTTGCCTTCAGTTGCATTTGTGGGGGTTGTAAAAACACATCTTCTCTAATTAGACTTCCATGCAAAATAAACAACTTAAAATTGTGGTAACAGTTAATGCTCTTTACATTGATCTTGTAAGAAGTCATTTTGGCATAAATCGTGTTGATATGATTGAAGGGTACCGAATCTCTGTCCTGGCTCTCTGTGTGCAGGCCTTCACGTCTCATATGGACAGAGAGGGGAGCTCTGGGCTCCTGACTCCTACCCCTGTGTAGGTAGACCAATGTGTTGCTCCATTGCATCTCTGTGCCATGGTATGCAACTTGCCAAGTACAGCTGGTATGCTGGATATTTAGTGCCGTATGGATGGCACTAAAGGGCATTCAGTGTGCAAAGTGGACCCAAAAAAAGGTATTTGTTCCCCAAATGCAAACTAGCACCACAGACCTTTCCTGGGACCTTCATCCTGCTCCCAAGATCTGAGGCATAGGGTCCCCTCCTTTGGAAAACAAAATGTTAGCATTCTGTGTTCAGAGATGATTTAATTTGACAAAACTGAGTCATCAATAGAAGTGGGCAGGTGGGATACTAGAAGTGTTCTGACTTGAATTAATTCAAGCAGATAGAATACTGTTTTAACGTCTTTTAAGTGGAACAATAGTGCCATCAGGTGGGCAGGAAGGTGAGTGATTCCTTGGAGAATTTTGAATGTATTGCTATTTCAGTAATCTAGATTCATCTTGGATACAGTTGATCTTATATTAAAATTGACAGCTTAATTAGTGCTAGGTCCTGCCATTTAATTAGTCTATGAAACATAATCAGTTGCATAAAGAATGACATAAAAACGTATGGAGCGTTAAATACACCTCTTGATTAAATACCACCAGTTACCATAACCAGGTTTTACACCTGGATATTTTATTAATTCTAGTTTTTTACAACAGGTGCTACCTATTTATGCAAATATTGAAAATTAAATGTCCCACAGAGAAGCTTTTAGTTTCTCCTTCTCTTAATATTTTTACTAGTATCTTTAATGCCCAAAATTCAGATGAGCATAGTGGATTCCAGTTCAGTCTCCCAATGGTATAAAGACCTTCTGCTTAAAACATTGGGGAACGTGGTTTAAGAAGTGCTTGCACTACTTCAAGTGTTTTCCAACAATATGAAATCACTTGCCAGCAATTGTTCATGACATTCCAGGGTACAAAATGTGTAAATAAATAGTAGGCTTGCAATAGGAAAGATTGTTTATGGCACCGATATCTTGGTCTTTATCTTAACTGCTTGTTAAGATTTGACCAGAGCTTGAAACTCTGAAAAAGAAAGAAAAGAATAATAAAATGGGACCACATTTTGTAATCACACAGTCAAAAAGGTACTTTCTTAATTTTTAGAGTTAAAGTGGGAAACTAATGATACTTCCTCTGATAATCATTCCTTAAAGGTAGCATTGTATACTCATAATAATAGATATTTAAGACAGAGGAAGTGTTGCCTTTAAGTGTCACATTGTACCATAGTTCAATAGTAAAAAGCAGTGAAATTATATACCGAAATTTTATAAATATATCAGTTCAGGTTCCAGTCCTGAAAAAATCTCTGTAGATGAAAAAAGGGACTGACCACGTATAGCCAAGGGCAGAATACAGACTGGCTCCTATGTTAGATCCTCTCTACAATACAGAGCAGATCTGAGCACCTCAGAATCAGATCCATAACATCCAATGTATGGAGCAGGGCAGCTGCCTAGAGCTAACCATGAGGAAGTCTCAAAGGCAGGTATTACTCCATTTAGTAAAAGCAGACTTACCATCCACTCCAATTTTACCATATCCATCGCTATCACCTGCTGCCAGCAGTGCCTTGGTCTCAGCATCAGTCAAAGCTCTGGCACTGGCTGAGAAATTCTGCAGGAAAAGTCTGTTAAAGGTGAGAGGACAAATGAGTGAGACATACTCAGTACTGAAAGCATTTAGAGTTTGTTATTGGTAATAACTGTAAAATTCCAAACCTGATTCAATTCTTGAGACTATTTCAAAAGCTCTTTGTAGATAATTTTGAATTCAATGGCAAAAATTCCTCTGACTTCAGTGAGAATAAGGGTAAGAAAGTAAGAGGATGTTGCATCACAACATGTAAAAATCCTTGATGACACTTTGGTTTCATTGGCTTAAAAAGGCAAAATTAAAACTGACTCCGTAGTGGCAGGATTAATCTTCCCTCCTGTGTTATCTTCCTTTTTTTCTTCTAAGACTTTTAAGAGTGGCAACAATTTTTCTAATCTTACTTTTTAACTTCAAAGTCAGATGAATATGATCTGGAAGATAGAATTCATGTGATGGAAAGAAAGATGAGAGAAAAATAGCTCTTTGAATTCAGTTTAGTAAAAAATCTTGCATTAATAAAAAGCAAACTCTAGCAGAACTGCTATTTTTATCTTCACAGTATGTCAGTTATCCCTACATGAAACAAGCATTTTCAGTGCTATCAGAGTGTTTTCTCGTTGTGATCCAGCCTTTCCTTCTTATTTGTCTGGCAGCTCCTTCAGCACAAGCACACACACGTGTGCATGCGCACACACACACACACACACACACGATTGTCTCTCATCCGAAGAGACAGAAGGAAAGGGAGTATTTCTGATCTTATCCTGCATTTTTAGACAATAAAACACAAGCCTGTTGATAACTCATTTTTTTTATTTACTTACTTCAGTTCATCTTCCTCAATAAAACTACTCCTGTCCTGGTCAAGAATTCTGAAGACTTTGATGAGCTGGTCTTTGGACTTGGAGTTGAGACCCACTTTGACAAAAAAGGTTTTGTAATCGAATGAATCAGCAGCTGAAATAAGCAGGAGTAGATGAAGAAAAGTACTTAAAGATCTGGAACAAAAAAAAATTGGCTTTTTGGTCAAAAAGCAGCAAACTGTTCTGCAGTACAGTGAGGGTCATTACAAACCCCAATCAATCATCTCTGATTTTCCTGAGTTTATTTCAGATTAATGGGATTTTTCCATCAATGATCTCTCAAACCTCAGAAGATAAATATTGACTGCAGTCTTCATCATGCAAGAACATACATTTGTAGATACTTCACTTAAACATAAATTCACAGAACTTGATGTTAAATATTTTGCTTGTATTGAAATCAGCACAAGTTTTATTATTATTCTCTGAAAAAAGGCACAGGATTTCAGCCTCTTGATTTTTTCATACTTAAAATTGCTACAATGCACAAGTGATGATGGGTGCCTGTACCTTGGCTGGCAAAGATTAAAACTTGCATCTGTTCCCTTACCTTGCCTCCTTTTTCTCTTTTTGATAAAACAATTAAAGCTGTAATTAGCAAACAAACGTACAAGAACATCTTACCATGTACCCTGGAGAGGTAATCAACATTATACTGTCTAGTTCATCCTTTCAGCCTTTTCTGTTTTCATTGGAATTGGGACGTTGGGGTAGTGACGACAAAGGAATTTGATAGATAAACTGAAAAGCCAAATTTGAAACATGAGTGTTACCTTGACAGCTCTGTAGGCCAGCAGCAATTTCAGCTTCTGTCAGGATACCAGAAAAAGCCATGTCAAAGCTACTATAAAATGAAAAATAATATTGGGTGGAGTTCATATTGATCTTGCTCTACCAGCCTTTGATGCTGCCCCATGAGGACAGCCAGGTTTGAATAGTGGGGTAGTTGCAACCTAGGTCCCAGGACAAACCAGGGGAGCTGCCCTGTAGGAGCCGACTGTTACAACCTTTCATTCAGATACATGTAGTGCATCTGGCTTGCTGTTATCTCTAGTTAAGTCTTCAGGTGCACAAGCTGAGGACAAAACCAAACGTATTTATAGAACTGCACAGCATTTGGGGATCTTTGGTTATTTCCATGCTTTTTTTGTGTAGATTATTGTGATGTCTTCAAAAGCTCCAGAGGAAAGATTGAACTAACCTTGCCATTTAATTTTCCCTAAGCCAAGAACAGAAAAAAACTGTAAGGTAAAAGACCTGCAGAGTCCTCTTGACTTAATTCTTTTTCAAATGACAGAGATATGACTTATATTGACCTTAGTTAAGTCTTCTCGACCTTTTACAGAAGTCCTAGAGCCACGTGATGGCTCATATACCCCAGGGGATAAGTTACTGTGGCTGACAAAACTTGCTAGCTAATCGGATTGATATTTATATCCCAAAGGAATGTGCATGGTGTTTTAGACAATATATAAGGTTTAGTACCATACAATGTAAATCCTCTCAGCTTGCACCTATTTATAGTGTAGTGAATGATTTTTGATCTGTGAATGAAAAAATATAATTTTTTTTTTTTATTGCTTAATGATAGCAACAAATGGACATTTTCATGGTAGACTGACTTTTAAGGGCCCAATCCTGATAGGAATTACCCATGAAACATTACTCCTGCAATTGCCCTCATAGTCTTCAAATAATACTAATATGGATACATTTGTACTAGATATATCTGACATACAAGTAGAATCTCACAGATAAAACTTCTGATCAGCCCAAAGTATTTTTAGTAAGCTGATATGTAAGCTTTGGTTACCCAATTACTGAAATATGTATGTTAGACTATAAAAGTCTAATATTGAATATATTTGCTCAGTATTAATTCATTGCATGGTGCACATTTCAAATCGTCATAATAAATGTGTCCATTTATAGAAAGAATGTTGTCAGTTGTTCAGCAGCATACAGGAGTATGCATCAATTAGTGGTAAGGAGTGAAACTGAGCAGTGAAATCTGTAATATTTGGTTCTTCTGTGCTGAAAAAATAAATTTCTGTAAGGATTCAAACAGTAGCTAAACTAAAGCTGCAGCTTTTCTCTTACTGGTTACTAATAGGATCCTCTGGTCGGCTAGCTCATTAAATCTCTTGGAACTTAATGGCCTCAAGAATGGCTGAAATTGGCCGATGGTGTAAAAAATCATTGGGAGAACATTTCACACCCACACATACATAAATGTGCACGGAGTATCACTGTAGATTTAAATAATATTTGAGTAATGCTATTACATTTAAAATAAAGCCTAACACTTGGTCAATATAACATAAAGCTGCTGTCTTTTTTTCAAAAATTATATACGTGAAAATACAGACAAAAACCTCATCTTGCACATCTTAGTTTCCCTTGATCATTTCTTCAAGAGAAGAATGCTTAGGGGAAGCACTAACTATATTTTTCTAAACCCATGCTGTGTGGTAAATTGAACATTGTGAAAGCAAAGTTTTCTGGACTATGTAAGATCAACTGAGTAAGTTACTTTTAAACACATTTTATCCTGGACTGGTGGATATATAAACGAAATGATCCAGTCTTTCCATTTGGGAATCTAGCTTTGCCTTTGTTTCACATTCCTAGGAAATAATTGAGAGTATGGCCTGGGATCAGAGACGATCTGATAATTGTGTCGGAATTACTGAACATTCAAGAAATAATCCTTTTGAGAAGACCACATTGAGATTACAAAGCATTTCTCGATACAAGTTTTTGAGTATTTCTGTGGCAAACCAGAGGTTGCCTGTAGGTGGCACCAAAGACAGTCAAGTCCAGCCGTGAAATCTCTCCGGCACTACTTGGGGTGAGAGAAAACCAAGGCACTGAGAATGAGAACAGGTTAACAGGTGGGCGTTCATGGGCAAGGAAGAGAAGAGGAAGGAACAGATACTGAAAAGAAAAAGTCTAGTCTACCAAATCACTCGAAAGACTGGAATATAAACAGACTAAATTGAAAACTCAGAAATAATTCCAGAGGACTTTCCTTTAATGATGATTAGGAAGAACAGGTTATTTTGTCTGTCTAACAAAACCAGGTTTTACTGTGTTAATTTTTATGCTGGCTAAATATTACAGTTTGTTAAGGAGATCATTGCAAATACAAGATCAGTTCTGGAAGCCTGGGAGTTGAAGCAGAAAGTTAGTATCTAGGAAATACCAGCTGATTAATATCTAGTTGTGATGAAACTGATGTGATTCCCTTTGAGTCAACTATCTACTTTGACGTAAGTTCCCCTTTGAACTTAGAGTCAATAATATCTTTGTAACTGCAGGGGAAGGCATTGTCTAGGGGTACCTTCTTTTCATATTGTAACCGATGTGGTGATCTGATTTTCTTTTCTGGAGCTCGATACACAAAAATATCTGATTTTCTTGTTTTCATGAGTATAGGACATGCTGATAAGCAAATCAAAAGTTACACAGCTGCCATATCCCAACAGCTAGGTAGTGTGCTCTATAGGCCTTTGGTGCAGAAAGTGTACCAGAAAGTCCATACCAATGTAATGGTATCTTTCTGTGCTTGCAAGCAAAAGTAATATGGAAATTAAGTTTCACAGAATGTGAACACTTTAAATTAGTTCATATTCCACAGCATCCACCTATTAAAATGTTTTGAAATATATGAACAATTAAGCATGAAAATGCTAGGTACATGTCCGTTCAGGGATTTAATCAAGATGTATCTATTTCAGTAACCCATTCCAGGAAATGAATCCAGCCTTGGCCCCCTCTGCCCACACTGTTTGTGTGAAGAGCTCCAGGCGCCTCTGATGATGCAGCATCAAAGATTTTCCACATGGGCTGGCTGCTAACTTAAAGAAGAAACTTTACCAGTCTATGTGTGCAATGAATGTTCTGACATCCCCTTGCCCTTTCTGTGCTCTGTTACTTGTTAGAAGATGACTGTGAGATTTCGAACAGTTGGAGAGCTGAAATTGAATCTGAAGTTTACAAATGGCTCTAGGTTGGGATTTCCAAAGGAACATGAAGTTAGGAGGCAGCCAGCTTCCACTAAATACCAGGAGATTGTATCTTATGCTCTTTTTCCAGGACAACCCAAAATTTCAGTTTTAAGAGAGATGATGGATTCAGTGGCTAGAGCACTAGGGTGGGTTGGGGATATTGGGTTCAATTGGCCTTCTATATCCTTTTTCTAAGAGCTTGTGTTTAGTTCCCACTTAAAGAGATCACAGTATGTCTTTATTTCACAAGAAGTATTGGGAGGATTAGAGATTAAACGGCTCATACAGGGTAATGAGGGGACTGAGGTGTGTCTGAGAACTCACAGTCTTTGGGCTCAGTGGAACTCAGATCTGCCACTCACATTTTGGGTTGCTCTTTAATTGCATTATGTAAAGGTAAAACATATAAACAACATTTTGTTTATCCTGGGAATTATGGAGCAGTAGTATACTGAGTATTATACTGAGTAGGACAGTCTTACTCTAAACCTGAGAACAGGGTTATCAGTGTCATAATACATGGTGTTGTTAGATCCTTACTGATTTGATGTAGCATAAACAATTTCTAACAGGATTTTGGTTTTTAACAGTGTACTCAGCAGTGTTTTATTTGTGTACTTCGTTCATAAAAGCTTGATGCAGAGGATTTAATCCTTACTTATTAGATTGCCCAGAGAGGTTGTAGAACCTCCATCCTTGAAGATACTCAAACTCAGCTTAGAGCAATGTGCCCTAAGTTGGCCTTCTGAGGAAGCGATTGGACCAGAGACCTCCAGAGATCCTTTCCAGCATGAATTACTCTGTGATTCTATACCTTAATTGTGGTAACATTGTGGTATCATCATTTGTCTCTTTACTACTTCAGATGGCATCTGCATAGACAACCTGCAATCAAAGGTTTTCTCTAGTGCAATGATATTGTCAAGTTAAGAGAACACTCCATGCTATTCTCTAAGAAAATTGAAGGCTGCCACTCTCTGAACTTAAATTTGCTGAAATGAACCTTCCAAGAAAACTTTACATTTTTTGAATGTTTCCTTTAGGTGGAAAATACTCTTCTAGTTTGGTTAGCTCTAAAAATGTGGATCCTAGTGCCAACAGAAGACTTAATAGGGACTAGGTGTTGTTTTTGCTGAACAGTCTATGGGCTTTTTTTGAAATTGGGGACTTTTTGGAGTTTTATTGTAATTCTTTCTAATGAAATGGCTGGATGGTTTTAATAAGATTTAAAACTCATCTTCTTGCCAGGAGTTACTGTTTAAGAAGAACAGATTTTCTCATAAACAAAATTCTCCAAGTTTTATGTAAAGTTGCAACATACACAAGAATTGTCTGATTCTCAGAAGTATTTAATTCCCCCTTTGGCAACAGAAGGCAGTGATGTGCAGTTGTTTAACATCTCTGAAATACAGGATAGGCCACTATGTAGTCTTGCATTTCTTACATTCCACATGAGACTTTCAGATGTGCAAGGAATGCAGTATCAGGTCTGTCCCCTATGGTATTGTGTGTGCCATCTGCTTGTGAAGTAGTGACATGATATTTTAGTGATTAGCAGTGTGAAGACCTAATGTATATATTACATCTGTATATTGCTGCAAATCTGGATTGCTCTGGGTTTTTTTCTTCAGCAGATAGGAAAATGAATAAGGTAGAGGAACCAACAGAGTCTCATCATTATGCAAAGTATTTCAGTGCTGTAATTAACAGCAGCTATAATTTAAGCCCAGATTTAACATCAAAGGCAGTGGGGATAGAATTAGGATTTATATTCATTATAATTCTGCCAAGGGTTCAGTGAGTCTGATTGCTAGAATTCCTCTTTTGCATTAGCTGTCTTAAATCTGCCAAACAGCTCTCTTACATGCCTTGGTATGAGTGAGCTGTACTTGCCTCACATAATCATCTTGCAATTCATGGAAATGCCAACACTGAATGTTACATAAAAGTTCCAGAAGGCTTTGTTTCTGCTCTTCTTCGAAACAGCTGCCAAATTATGTTATAGTTATCATGCAGTTTCAGCAGGGAGTATTAAAACGACAGTCTACTTGTGAGCTGGAACCACGTCATGGTAGATGGGAAAGGAGACAACTAAATGTTGGTGGGGAAATCTCCAACCCACTCAGCCAGAAACGCACAACATCTACTCAGTCTATTGAGCTCTGCATTTAACCATGAACATTATTTACTTTGCCCATTGATGAAGACAATGCTATAACTAGCTCTAAATCCTGTAAGACACTTATCGAAGGACAGACTAGTTCTTAGTAATTTTCAGACTTAAGAAAATTGCTAATATTATGGATTATATAGATGATTATTCATATAATAAATGAAAGATTCGAGTAATGGCCATTATTTAGCAACATAACAAAGCTTTAAGGTAATCAAACGGCAAGACTGGCTGTTGTTTCATCTGTAGGAAACACAGAAATTCACAAATGTGGCAAAGTATTATTGTTTTGTACATATTAAGAGATAATAAGCAACATGTTCATGACTGACAGAAAAACCTCCAGGCCTGTGGCCCATGTTGTCAGGGGACTTGTGACTTGTGACAGTGTCAGAGTTGGGATTAGACCCTTCTCCTCTATCTCACAGCTGCCTTGGATTTCATGAAAGATAAATCTTCTTAAGAGAGAGTTACATTTTAGGCCATAAACACTTTTCTGATGATACATGCTGTAGCCTCGTACTTCATTTTGTAAAATTACCCACAAACTTATTCTGAGCTTTGAACTATGTGTCAACTCCTCTTAAATTTTTTTCTCATATTCTCAGGGTTGGGACTTAATATAAATTATTTTTAACTATCTTGTTAGCATTGCTTTTCCTCAAGGATCAGAGAATTAAGCAGAAATAAAACTCTATGAAATCAGTACAATTAAGCCTTAAAAGATGTCATATTGTTTAAGATGATCAAAACTGTGTCTGGCGAGTCAGCATGGTCAAATATGAGGATGGAAAACCTAAATAAAATTTAAAAAGCAGCTTTTTCCCCCTCAAGTTGTTTTTTTTTTTTTTTAAATTTTTTTTCCTTCCCTCTTCCAGCCACAATTTCAACATTATGAGTGGTTGAAAATCACAAAGTGCCTTCTTTACAATGGAAATGTAACAATACCACGTGACCAAAACATCTGTACATTGCAAGATTTTTCAGCAATCCGTTGTGTGAACTTGATGTATGGGGAATTGTTAACGCCTGAAACAATATAAAAATGTACAAACACATGCTGAGTGCGAAGTGCTTGTTGGACGAGGTAATTGGAAGAGTCAGTCCAAGGTTGCCTTTGGTCTAATGCTGTTTATGCCTTCACCAGAGATTGGAATTCTGTCAGGGAAGAAAATGAGAAAGGCAGGGAATAAAACTAGATGAAAGTGGGTTTTAACATCTTTAGAAAAGATAGATAAAAATGACTTAAACTCCTAGCCGTGGAGGGCTCCCAAAGTTATTATAACGCTGCACAAGCTACTGCTAAACTGAGATTCTGGGGGCGTAACAGATTTTTCACTCCTTAAAAAGAGTAAGTGCAGAGAGGAGGAATGCGTCTGTAAATTCATATTTGTGGGAAATCCTGAGTTAAAGGTAAAATACCTTTAACCCATTACAAACTCTGATAATAGCCAAGGAAGCAGAGAGTGAATTAGGTCGAGCCCTGTAGCTTTCAGTATGAGGGATTTTTTTTTTTGTTATTCCAAAGAAAAAATACCAGTAGTGATGTAATTGCAGAATGGGAGATTCAATGGTTAAGGGCTAAGATCTGCATAATATAATGCCCTATTTGGGGCTCATAAACAGAAGCTGCAAAAGCTGCTGCTAAAGCAAATTCCTCCAACAGCGTATCTCTCTCTCCTCCCAAACTCTGGCTAAGATTAGCACGTGTGTCTGTTAGAGTTATTGCCACCTGTCCTAGTTCAGCTGAAACAGCCCTGTTTTCAGTGACTTCATCTCTAATATATGATGCATAATGTCCTTTTTTTCTTTGCTGGAATTTGTAAAAGAAATATCCTGGCCAGTTCACATCATCCCTGTGAGGTTTTCTTTAGGAATTCGATTTAGTTTCTTGTAGAAGCACTGCCCAATGAAATTTGTACTTACCAGATAATTCTCCAGCACAAAATTCTGTGCTGCATTGCAGCAGTTCTAGCCTTGAAAAACAATACCGGTCTTATTTTACATTACTGAATTAGCCACTCAGTAATATTGGCCAATATTTGATAGTGGTAGATGAAGAAATAAGTTTATGTAGGTGGAAGCGCATTTAAAAATGAAAGTGTCATATGGCCAGAAGTGCAGAGCATCCACTGCCTAAATGGAAATTCAAAGAATGCATAGGTGCTCAGGATGTTTTAAAAATCTGGCACATTGAGTTTATGGATCAGACACACAGCAGAATTAACCCCAAAGCTGTTATTACTGATTGGAAGAACAGGCTCTACATTGGGCCTAAATATGCTGTTGCTGCAACAGAGACCAAATGGGAATAAAGCTAGTATAAAAATTGTGGCAGAAAGTACTAGGCCAAAGTACTCGGATGTATCCTTCATGCTACAGTTTAAATGCAGCCCTAAATGCATGCATTTTAAAACACAAATTTTATGAAGTTTCCAAAAGTCTTACCCTCCACTCCAATTTTGCCATCACCATCAGTGTCACCTGCAGCCAGAAAAGCCTTGGTCTCCGCGGAGGTGAGGGCTCTGGCACTTGAAGAGAAATTCTTCAGAAACAGCCTGAAATAGAACAGGGTAGAGTACTGTGCTTGAGTTGTATTCTCTGAAATATCCTTGGCATATTGGTATTTCTGGTTTTCTTAAACCCATGCCAAAAACCCCATAAGGTAATGCCTGCTCTTAGTATCACAGGAAATCCACACAATTTCAAGGAAAGACAAGGAATTGTGTTTTATTTTTAAAATAACAGCAAGTTTCTTCTAGGACACCAGGCAAGTTCAAAGGTTTACATAGTTTAAAGAAATACGGCAGCGGAACTTACTGAAGCTCTTCTTCTTCGATGAAACCACTCTTGTCCTGATCAAGGATTCCAAAAACTATCTTTATCTGATCAGGAGTTTTACTGGATAAACCAACCATGGAGAAGAAAGACTTGTAGTTGAAGGAATCATCAGCTGGAAGAAACAGAAGTTGTTTAAATATTTTCTCTTGAAGTTGCTACTACTGTATATATTCCTTGGGAATATGTATGTCTTCTCTTAAGCATCAGCCTGCTCCTCTTTCTCTTGTTCCCCGGTGTAGCAAAAGAGAAGATACAGTGGACAATTTTCCTTTTTAATCACTCTGTGCCTGTGGTCATATATCCTTTCAGCCAGTTTGAAGTTTTCTGCTACAGTGCACATTCTGCTAAATCAGGATTTATGCAATGTGTCACATGCAATTAATAATAAATATTTAGAGGGTGCTACTGTGGCTTACAGACTAACTCCTGTAATTCTTACTTCATTTTCACTTAGTCCTTACTTTGGTGAAGAATTTGGTAGAAAAGTAAGTAATTCACAGTCAAACTAGCTCTTCGAGCATTTGGAAAATTGGCTTGATCTTGCTGAGGAACTCTTAAGAGAACTGAGACTGGTCATTGCTTCACAAATGACACTTGATTCTGCAAGCTGAAGCTTTTTTTGACATTTTGAAGGAAAAGGCTAACTATTTAAATATAAGTCTTTAACAGGTTTAAAAATTGACAGAGTTTAGAGTTAAGCCGGCCCTAACTGAAACTGTGGCCCTTTAATTGCTGCTCTGTGTTTTGGGCAACGTTACCCACCAAATAACCACTTGTGAGACTTTCTGAATTCAAGGGGCTATACTGTAATGTAGCTAGAAAGAGATCTCACGGGGAAGGAATCTAAGGGGAAAATGATAGGCATGTCATCTTAAGACATAAAAATGATATGCATCTTCTGGCTGCAGAGAGACCATTCCTTACCCTGGCAGCTGGAGAGAGCAGATTCAATATCTTTAGCAGAAAGGATGTCAGTGATGGCCATTGTTGAACTGTAAAAAAATTAAATGTGAGCTACTTAGTCATTAAAATGACTTCTCTACCTCTTTCATGGCTCTATTTGAGGTTGCTGCTGTGACAGTATATGATAGGGGAGACATTATTCATCTAATTGTAAGCGGAGCGTACTGTAACAGATGTCTGCAGCAGGTGCTTCCACTTAAAGCTGGGTAATGAGGGAGGAATTCTGCTTGCGGGAGTGTGGGGCTTCAGGAAGATCTGATGCCTGTACTGCACTGGGAGAGCGAATCAAAGGTGTCTAGCACCGCAAAACTTCATGACTTCTGTGTGGGTTTTCCTGGGGTGGATTATTACTCAGTTAAAATTGGCATATATTTACAGCACACATAAAAGATAAGGCTCAGTATGTCCCCTAGAACTATATCTGTAAATAATAAATGTAATAATAAATGTAATTGGAATTTAAAAAATCTAGTATTATTATCAATACATGTAGTGATATTTTCAAAGAATGAAAATAATAGTGTAGAATAAGTAATAATTTTACTCATTTCAAGGAAATCTAAATTTGGAGAGTAAGTTCCTCCTCTGTTTAGTTGCAACAATAAATGTAACTACACTATAAATTTGGCTTGCTGGACTGCTGCATCATTAAAAGACTACATATGATAGCTTTATAAAAGTTGTCTTAAGTATGTTGTGGGGGGTTTTTTAATTCCATGTAAGTGATAATACACCTGATTTTTATCCAGATTTTGGCATTTCAGTATATTGATGTGCTTAGAACAGAGGTATTGAGACTTAATATTTGTTCCTAGTAGAGTGGAGGAGGCGTTTTCTTCTGATACAGCAGCATTTGACAAAAGATACTCTTTGTCCCAGTCAGCCACCAACAGCTGCAATAGTTTGCCAACGTAATATATATCGCTTAAGAAAATGCTAAAAGGCCTGAATTTCTAGTCAATTTTTTAGTGTGAACATAGAATCAATGCATTTACAGTTTGGTAAACTGCAGACACCAGTGCAGATTGGTTACAATTTAAAACTTGCAACATTACTGTAAAGTAGCCTCATGTTAATGAAGGAAGGGGAACTAAGGCATAAAAAAGTTATTCTTAAAAGCCACAAGAGAACAGAAATATCTTTTCATGAATCCCTAACTGATCTTCAACAACATCATTCCTCCTGTCTCAGCATGGAAAGCAGCATTCATGAGAAGGAAACCAATGTTGGTAATTTATAGTCTGTGCTGGTTTGAGATCTACATGCAGGTTTAAACTTTGTCTAAAATATGAAATGGCTGCCTCCATACCTGTTGGTTTGCAGGAGAGGTAATCGTCTATCATTTCAGTCCCTTTCTGAATATCTCAGAAGGTGTAAGGAGACAATGGGACAAATTCACGCTGATGGCAATGGGTACTTCTCCAGCTAAGGCAGATGAGTTACTTTTGTTTTGCTAGCGATTATTTTGTCCCAGTGGCTTCTTGTGCAAAGTGCTTCCCTCCCTCAGCACTAGGTGAGATAATTTGGAGCTCTGCCATTCACCTAATTCTCGCTGCTGGCAGGATTAAAAATGGGGAAGAGTTGAAGTAAAACCTAAAAATTGCAGCATTTTTTACAAAGGGCATCGTTCCTGTCTTTTTCCATCCTGTGATCTGAACACTGATTCTATTCTATGCTAGTTTGTAAAGATAGGACATACTGGAAGCTGATACAAGAATAGATATTTTAATTGCATAGGCGCTTTCCATTTAGGGAACATTTTGCTTTTGTGTTTCTTTTTCTGAAAGCAGAGGATCTAATCAGCTTACCTTTGTGGTCTTCTTGACTGGATAAGGAAGCAATCTGGTTGGGAGGAACGTACTTGCTGGTGTCTCCAGCAGAGCTGAGCTTGCATATATATACTTTAAGTTGTATACCATATACAGATTTTAGATTTCAGCGTCACGAAGGGGGAATGGTGTCAGATGAACTTGCCTAACTAATCATCTTGCACTATTTTTATCTCAAGAGAATACATATGATATTTGCAAATGAAACAAGATAAGTGGCCAGATAGGTGAAAAGGACAGAGTCATATTAAATTTCTTCTGATTTAAGCAGAAAATACCAACTTCTCCATATGATGTAGGGCAGGAAAAAAACCCCACTCTCTGATATGCTTGATCCGAGGAGTCAGATGAAATGAAGCAGTACTAACTTCTGAAAAGATGCCTTTAATGAATGTTTAAACGTGATAACTTGTTATCTTATCTGTAGACACTACATCTGATAGAGTTTCATCATTAGAGCACTAAACAAAAAAAATTTGAAAATATCCTGTTCAAATATTGTTTGTGTAGCAAACCATTTAGGGAAAATAATAGTGGTGGTGTCTCCCAGAATGTCTGGTCTGTTGTTGTTTTGAAAAAAAAACCACACAGTGAATTTGTTGCTACAGGAGGTAAAATAATATTATGTCAATCCATTGGAACAGTTGGTTGGGGGAGGGTATTTCGTCTGGTATGTTTCCAGAGAAAATCTTAGAATTCTGCAAGGTTCTGACATCCTGTTTAGTCGCATATGTATGAAGCAAAGGGGTTGTGATCTATCCAGCTGTCTCTGAGACAAAAGCCCCTGAGCCCTACATGAAAGATCTTTGCTTTCAGAATAGAGAGAAAAATTTTGATAGCAGCATCACTGCAGAGAACAATATGTGAAGAGTGTCTTTGCAATTTTGTAGCCTACCTTCTGATCTCTTTTAGATAAGTGGTTATTTTTTTTAATGTTTTGGTCAGTGCTGTTTCCAAGTGTTCCTTTATGCTAGTTACTTTTTTTTTTTTTTTTAAATAGCGTGGAAACAATTTGATCATCTCAATTTTCTTTCATGAACGTTGTAGCCTAACTGGGTGAGGAGCCCGTCTGCTTGGATCTCACTTGTGGCTTGAGGCAGCAGAACAGTGAAAGACAAGTCATGTGGATGACAGCACAAGGTAGCATTATGGCCAGGGGTAAGGGATGGCAAGGGATGACGGTGCAATTGGCATCACAGCTTGAGGTGGTGGCACAGTAAGAGGTGACAGCACAGAGACTGTCTTAATGTCAGAGAATCAAGGCATTTTTTTTCCAAAGCATTTCTCTCTAAGATGGAAGGCAAACCTAGCCAAGCACTGAAGTCAACCACTAATAAATCATAGTGTGAGGCAGAAAACGTGGTAAATGGGGTACCTACGAGACCTTAGTGCACCCAACATTGACAACGGCTGATGAAAAAGCAAAAAAAGACTATTGCAAAAGATACTGTGTGTGGAGGGGGTGTTATTTCACTTACTGCATAAGTGAAATATATATAAAGGTAAGAAATATATATATAAA